ACCGGTGGGCTGAATACTTTGAACAACAAATGTCTTGGCCACCAGCCGGCACTCATCTAGAGCCCACAGGTGAAGTAGAACCGTGGACAGTGAACGTGGAACCACCTACGGCCTCAGAGGTTTACGTCTGCGTATGTTCTCTCAAGCGCCACCGGGCTCCTGGTCCAGATGATCTCCCACCCGCATTGTTCAGTCAGTGCTTGTCTGGTCTGATTGCATGCATTTGGGAAAAGGAGTCTGTTCCAGATAACCAGGGAGAATTGGTGATAGTGCCACTTTGTCCATCATCCATAGGGAGATCAGCTTGACCCCGGTAACGAGACTGTTTGCGTCACTGGTGCTTCGTCGCCTTACGGTGGCTCGTCGACCACTGACTCGAAAGTAGCAAGCGGGATTCCGACCCGGTACGGGTCAGGTGCGTCACGTATAAGCTACCCACAATTCTAGTACTCCTGGATTTCCAAGGTGCATTGGATCTGGTTGACCGGTCCGTTATTCTTGGCTCGCTTGCCCACCAAGGAATGCCCCGGAAGTTCGTACACATAATAAACTCCTTGTATTCTCAGACTTTCAGGCGTGCGACAGTGTACGGTGAGTTCTCCGAAAGCACAGCGGTGTCCTTCATCGATGCTCATTCTCTTCATTCCCGTTTAACTTCGAGATCGATGAAATCATGAGACGAACGCTGGAAGCTCTTCCTAAAAACCCTGGTGTTCAAACAGCCTGTGACGAAAACCTTGTCGGCCTGAAATATGTAGACGATGTCGTTCTCATTTTCGAAGATGAGAAGGCGCAAGTGTATTTGGATGAGATCACCAAAGTCATTCCATCCTTTGGTATGCACTTTGCACCCACAAGGTGTAAGGTGATATTGGACATGCAGTCGCTAAATCCACCACTTACATTCCAGGGAGAGACACTGGAAATTGTGGAGCGTTTCACGTACCTTGGCAGCTGTATTAGTTCTGATTGTACTGTGACAGATGAGGCCGATGCACGAATCTGCATGGCCCGGGGTACGTTTGTCAATTTGAGACACTTATGGCGTCAAAATGGTGTATTCCTGAATCTCAGGGGACGTGTGTATCAAGCTACAGTGCGGGCTGTTTTGTTTTATGCCCGTGACGCTTGATCTGTTCGAGCAATGGAACTGAGACGTCTTCACATGTCCCACAACCGTTGTCTCAGAACCATAGCTCGTGTGGGTTGGTGTCGGCGATACAATAACGAGGCACTCAGAAAGCGAGTTTTCGGTTGTACAACAGGTGCTTTTATGGAAGAATGGGTCCAGCACCAGAAGCTGCGTTGGTTGAGACATGTGTTGCGCATGCCGAACCACCGTTTGCCGAAGAGAGTACTGTTTTCCGTGCCCAACTCAGAGTTGCGGAAGCAGAGAGGTGGCTAACCCTTGACCTGGCAGAGGGGTATGAAGGACATTACGAAACGGTTGGATGCTGTCGGTGCTTCCAGGATGGGAAACAATTGATACCCACTACGCTCCGTTGGAGACGCTGCAAGATATGACTGTCATCCGATGTCAGTGGCGTTCTTGTTGTCAGTTTCTACCCAGATTGTCTGAATGAGTATCGGAATGAATGTACTAAACTAGCACCAAGTCCTTTCCCCGTCCACCTTTATTCTTTTCTTCACAACAAGGCTTCCAAATAACTCACAATAAAAATGATAAATCAAATAAATCATGGCAGCGAAGCATCGGTGTTGAACACTCATGTCCTGTTGTGGATAACGATGCTGATATGCTGCACATTTCTTCAGCTAAGTTTGTAGCTGTGATAGTTTCATGCACCGAGGATAAAAAAAATAAGGGCATGAGAGCTGAGCACTGCAGGCGACGTCTCCATCTGATGAAACGCTGAGGGAAGAGGGCTCTACGATGCTAATGGCATATGAGTTACGTGGCCTGACCAGCGTAATCTGTGAAGTGTGATCGGCTGATCTATCGAAGAAGAGTGACCCTTCTCGAAATCCATGTAGCGTACTATAGCGTTGTTGTTCTGAGGTTCCTACCACACCTGCGCAATGCTTCAGAGACACCGATGAACAGTCACATGGCGGGTACCCTGGAAGATCTTCCGAACGCCACTTCTCCGATCCATTAAGTAGGACATATCGGGTCGTGGCATTGCGCATTCTACCTTTGAAAGTCAAGCTGATGTCACATCGGACCCTCAAATGTCTTAGGTTCGCAAACCGTGCCCTGGCCTTCTAATTTCGGTAAATAATTTATGCTCTCACCAGTTAGCCGGAAATTATGCAGTCGCCAAGGTAAACGAACTTATCCACCATATCGATCGCTTCTCTTGAGGGCATGAGTTTAGGGTTTGATTCCACCCAATCTTACAACAGCACTTTACAGATGCGAAGCGCATACCGAAGTGTTGAGCAGAATAATTTATAGGATCTCGCATTTCTAAGGGTTTGATACAAAAAGAGCAATGCCATCGGCGTAATCAACTTCTGTGAGTGAACGTCCCCGGTAGTATTTCGATCCACGAGGTGTTAGAGCCAGGTGAAGACTCGAGCAGCACATAGAAATAGAATTGGTGACAGTTGACACTCTTGCCTGACAACTGCATGTGAAGTTAGGTGTGGTAAAGCAAACAGATGCGCGTACTTGCACAATGCCGTGATCTGAGCCAAGTGTTGTTGTACCAAATGGACGGCAAACTTGTATCGAAGCTTTCCACCTGTAGCTAAGTGCCATACGGTCTGATTTGCAGTTGTTAGCCTCCAGGTAACACGGTGTGAGGGTTTGTACTGGCTGGAAGCACGTATTTAGCATATAACTGAAGGAGTCGATCCACATTATCGGTTTGGTGAGCATCAGCCCCGAGTCGATTGCCGAGATGAGTCTCTTCACGACTTAGTTGCCCGATATGGACATTCATATTACCTGCCCGAATCACGGTATCTGTAATGGGAATAGGATATCTACGCACTGGAGGTGATAGATATGATTCACGAGCGCCACTGGCTGCACAAATGGGACATTTCTGCCAGCGTCATTAACCGTCGATGATATGAGTATTTGGGTCCCCATCCAGGGAGGCAGCAGTTGCCCACCCGACTAGGATACTGCCAGGTTGCCCAAGACTAGAGGGAAGTCGAGTGGCAGAGATCGGATTCAAACCACGGACCTTCCGGTCAGTAAATTCGCGCTCTAACCGCTTAGTCCATCTCGCCCCGCTGACTGAAGTTAGCTGAACCAATCTCGATGGAAGCTGTCTTTTTCAGCCTCAGAGCCGCCGCCTGTCGGAGCATGTCACGACAAAATCCGTTTACCACGTCGTCATGCATTGGTCTTCACCGAACCAGTCAACCTAAGATCGGAAAGACGACTATTTAAGGGAATATGGTCCAGCAAAGAGCACTTCGCCCTGGGGCTAGGAGCCACTCCCGCACTACGGACATCACGAACCATTTTATCATAACCACCAGACACCTGAAGAGTGAAGTCTGGGTTCGTCTGGAGCAGGTGTGTGACCAAACTGGAGAGACAACACGTCGATCGGAACAGAATAAAGTCTGTGCAAGGGCTACCTGTTGCCTAGTTTGACACAGTGTATGGAAGTTGAAGGCAACACTGTGGATTAGATCCTTTGGATTTAATAGGGCGTTTGTCTTATTTTACTGGATACAGAGCAGCGGTTAGGTGGTTGATGACCAAATGTATCAGAATGATTTGAGTGAGGGACGTGTGGGGAAGAGTCAGTGAACGAACAGCTATAAGAACAAATGGTACTTCTCGGTTACATAGACCGAAGGAAGTTGGGTTAAGGTACCACACCTTGAGCTTTTGACTGAAAGGTCTGACCCACAGGACAGTGGGATAATGTAGCGTTTTGTTCGGGGACCCTTCCACTAGTCTCTGAGTCAAAATTCTGAACTGCAAGACAGTGCTTGTTAGGGTTTTCTTGGGAAACCCTCCCCGGAGCCAATGACTCACCACTCTGACCCGCTTGGCTGTATGCGTCTCTTACGTATTGGGTAAGCCTACCGTTGGGTTATCATAGTGTGAAGTTTTTAGGGCCGACGTTTTCCAACCCGTCGTTCTTCGGAACAAGGCAGCATCACTGCTTCCACAAATATGGACACGCTGGTCGCCCGAAGGAAACTTCTTACTACCCTTACACTCTTGTCATAAAGGATAGCACGAGCAGTACAGCTAGATTTTTAGTGATATCCAGCGAGCTGTGGAGTAACTGGTAACCTAAAAGGGTGAAATAGCCGCACGATTTTTCGTCGACACTTCAGCGTCAGTCAATTTAACTTGGTGCGCCATCCCGATACCTGGCTGTGGCCTAATAGGCGGTTCTCCGAACCACGCGCCCGTGTCGAGACGGTAAAATAGTGTTAATAATATGGCCGTAATAACCTCCGGTGTTCGGCCGGAGAAATCACGATTATGAAAGTGATACGGTTACCCTCACACAGGACAAATTTTCTAATGGTCGGACATTGGTAACATTTTTCTGTGCGTTCTTGGAGGGCTTTCAGCAACCTTATAAGTAATGTTCCGTCTAAGATGTGCTTCTTATTCTGAACGGCCACTTAGCCATACATTGATATGTATGTATAACGTAAGATCCAGGAAACGGAACTTCTGCTTGACGAGCGCTTTTACGTCAGGCGCTATTCATATGCACCATTGTAGTTCCATAGTCCGGTAACGTGGTCTACTTTGTGCTTACAAGCTTCTCTGTTTGCCGTCTTATTCCAGCATCGTTATCCACCTATCGCAGAATTGGACAAACTGGCGACTAGGTTTGGTCAAGACGTAGGCACCCTTCGGATTTGGTTCTACAACCGGCGTGCAAACAATCCAAAACGTTGAGGTGTGCTTATCAAACACATTGTCCGAAGTCAACTGTTTGACTGCAATCTTTTCGTGCCGCGACCGCACATATGTATGCATTTTTAATTGCGAAGAAATTAGGAGCGACTGTGGAGTAAATGTATTTATCTCTATGTGGTGATTTTGCTTGTTTCCGAGACACTATCATTCAAATTTTTGGTTAATGACAACTTCATACTACTTGTTGCGTGTTTTCGTCTCCCCTGGTACTGAAAAATGGTTCCGCGCAGATATAAGAATTCGAATCGTAGAGGTAATAGGAAGATGATTGTATGGAAATTCGAGTATTGTTTACGGGTAGCACTCAGTGAGGGTAGCATTATGTCGGGAAGCGGGAATTCATTGGTGCTGGTTACAGCCTTGGAAGCACAGACCTGTTTGTTCAAGCATAATTTGTATTGACCTAGGAAAGAAATCTATAGGGTTTTCAACAACGCTCTCTGCTCTCGCAGATGGGCAGTGTGATAGGTAGCCAACCATGCTAGGAGTTGAGGACAACTTCTACACAGTATACAATCGACCATATACTGAGCTTGAGAGAGCTCAGTGGCTAAGGCATGAACTTACTGACCGGAAGGTTTGCGGTTCGAGCACAATATCTGTTCGCGATTGCTCCTGCCTTGGGCTGGGCGACCTGGCAGTATCTCATCCCCGTGCCCCCGGGTGACACGGCAGCTAGGCCTCAAAAGGGTGTTACGGCTGAGCGATTATTATAATCCTAAAATCGGTTGTACACCTCTACGGCGAACTCAAAAGTCGGTACTGTGAGAGCGGTATTCGTAAATGGTGTTGTGCAGGTCGTTAAGATATCAGCAATCAGCTTCCTATGGTCCCGGCAAATCCAGTTAGAGTTACATCCGGTTTTGGACGGTGGAGGCGTTTTCGATCTCTCAGAGCAACGAGCTCATCATGTCGAGGTAATGTGGAAATATCGTGCTCTTGCAAACTGATCCAAGGATCAACTAACACCCCGAGAACATCAAAGAGTTCAGGATACGGTTTTGTTTACCGTATATTACTAAAATAACAAACTGATAAGCGAAGAGGCATGTAAACCGGGATAAGAAAAATTTACAAGTCACCATGCAGAGTTTGGCAAAGCTTGGTTGTAGTGGCGCGTACTTCACAAAATAAGACTGATCAAACAAATTCGTGAATCAATAGGCTATGATCTGTGTGCTGGGCATGCCGGCTCCGGTTTTACCAAAAGGCGCACCTGAAAGATAAAAATGTAAGCGTGAAACACAGGTGAAGCAAACATTGAGGCGCTAGTTCATGGAAGAAATACATGACTAGGCCGAGTTGTTAGTATGATATACCTCGATTGGAACCTACCGATAGTCTGGCCAATTGAAAGTGATGTAGCTAACGTACTTCAGCCTTAGCGGGCTTATTCTCAGTCTATGGTTGGCTAAATGAATGTTGTTTCTCTGGCTAAGAACTCTGCAACTGGTATCGATCTCACTGAAAATAGAAACATTTAGTTGTCAGGCAAACCGGATAAGCGACAGATTAGACCAGAACTAGTAAAGACTACCTTCCTGGGTATCATGACTTATGTTAGCGAGATGACATCAGAAATTAGGCGTGCTTCGGCTGTACGCCGAGTGCGCTTCACCAACGACCGCTAACATGATGAAAGTTCATGCTGGTGTCATGATGCCCCAATACGTTTGGATGTGAGGCACGCTGAGGCGATCAAATCACTGATGATTACTGCAGAGCTCTCAATGGATAAGGCGACATACCAACTCGGTTTGTATGTCGATACTTACGACAATTTTGGACCAAGGAGAGCAACAAAGTGCCGGCGACGAGTTTACGGATATTTTGAGGTTGGGTTCACTGGATGTTAGTGTGCGAGAAAAAGCACTAGTGGGTTGACATGCACTACTGCTACTACGGAAGCAGGTCTTGGACTGACGTGCAACAGTGGCAGGCCAGGAGGGTCCCAGAAAAGTTCACGTCTATCCAAGTCGTATAATACGCTTGGTGACTGCCCAAGGATTACTGGCCGGACCTAATACCGCGAATAACAACCGTTCGACATCGTCCTCATCAAGAGTCCGAGAAAATGTGAAGACCAAACCAACCGTGTTCCATCGTATTACAATCATTCCAACCCTACTAAAGTGAGGATGTAAATGTGCCTTTACCCTGTGATGTTACGCTATACCTGTGTGCAGAGACTGCATACGTACACATCGGTGATCCGAAATTTAGATCGATGAGCCCACCAAAAATCAATTCCAAATAGTGTGTAGCAACAGCGCGGCTTCCATAAACAGTATTCATAAAATGATGCTTGCGTGTTGATAACCAGTTCAATAAAATATTGAACGAAAAGCGACGCCTAACAAACCGCGTTAAGTTCATCTGCGCCGAATTACCGACGGGACAAGATACCACCCCAACAGTAGGCTTTCTCGGAAGGACTTAAACCAACTAAAGGTGTCCTAAATGTAAACAGGGTAGGGGGTAGCGAAAAGGGTCACTGACTTACCATCCAATATACATCTGGCATAGGTTCTGATTAGATGTGGCTTCCCGAATCAAATAATCCACTTGGTTCGGTACATTCATTGGCTGTTCACACTCTGTTCCATTCAGCTTTTGGCGTATCTTATCCACTACTGCACGGGCTTTCGCATTTTCTAGTGTTATTGGAGAAGCTAGAGTGAGAGGTGAGAACGATACGTTAACATTAAAGACAGGCTTGTGAGACTCTCTAACCAGTACCGCGTCCAGGCAGACATAAAAACAGCCATCAGAGGCTGACGGCATTTCACTTACGCGAGCACACCGTACACAAACCTACCTTCTGTCTCATTGTAGGCATCCTCTTCGTTCAATGGTTTAGCGGAGAATATAAAGCCTTGCAGACCTTTGGAATTGAAAAGGGTGTTACACAGTAATTAGAAAAGAGTTATTCCCCAAAGAATTTGCACTCTGACTAAGGAACGACGGCGTAAGTGCGTGAATTGCGCATATACGTTGAAGGCATATTTATATGGATAAGGATCAGCAACCTTCATGTCATTGGAAGGGACGTTCAGGTGTCAACTTGTTGACTCATTCGGACTATGGTCCAGGTGCTGATGAGTAGTCTTTGCCTGACACTCGGAACTTGTTACGTTGACGAGATGAATGTGATGCTCCCGGTTGCGAGACACGTTCAGCCAACCAGTGATGCATACGAACTGGAAAAATAACCAACTTTCGCCATTCATAGTGTGGTGTGTTGGGTATATTCTCCATAAGATCAACAGAAAATACAGAAACCTCCGTTGCTGTCACAGTTCGGCGCTAAATTAATCTCCTGGAGGGCTGCTTACTCTGGTGAGGCAGCAGGGCAATCATACAGATCTGTCGCTGGGCCCTAATTACAACCCGCTACTAGAAACGACACTTCACCGCAGCAGAAATCATCTGCAGGTGACAATGCGCCGGTGCTTAGTCGTTTACGAATATTAAACGCTTCCCCACCTGTAAATCAGACCGATAAATACAAACACTTCTTAATAGGAGTGGTGATGAAGCAGGTGGATGCTAGTTAGCAAGGTCAGTCGTTGAAACCTGTCATATCTACAGGAAAATGTAGCCGACCCTGTGCCATACGACAAAAGACAGTTTACAACAGTTTCAACTCACCTTGGCGCTCCACGACCTGTCCAGCTTCTGTTTGTTTGCGCAGGCGTCTTGCTATAGAACATAAACAAAAGCGTCAGTGAGCATTTGACTCAGAGGGTGACACAAGCAACATGCATCGGTAGAGCCTTTCGCACCAGATTAGCAGAGGGAATAGTTTTTTCTTACTGACACCCTGAACAGTCAGGCACACTAAATGACAAGTGATGAAATCCCCGAGCGCTCGAACTAGGTTTCCAGCATAGTGTCCTTTACAAACATGGCAAATCGTTTGGTATAAGCATCTTATGTTGAAACTTGTAATGTCATCTTCCTATTAGGACAACCAATGGTTGTTCCCACAAATCTGAACGCTACTAGGGTATATCTGCCTCGCGTGTGTTAAGAGAGGCTTTTGGTCGACCGGAGACAAGTAAAGGTAAAGATGATTCTGGCTGTGCACAATATTGTTGCATGAATAACAAACCTGTTTCATAACATCCAAACCACGGTCCATTGCAAAGATGATGTCGCCAATGGTTGATCCGATGGGGATCGCGCAAGGATACACTGTCAGGATGATTTGGATTGGTGAAGACACGTCTGGGTGATGTTGACCGCCGGGTCGGAGGATGCGGCAGGTGGTTTTGCTGCTGGTGGTACGCTTGATACTCATAACCATGATGCTGCGCGTTCGGTGGGGCTAGGCCTCCAGTACGATCTGCCGGTCGACGAGCTGTTGTGGTCTGTAAATTAAATGTCAGCAGGTTAGTAGGAGATCCACAGTCTGATATGAGGAAAAAAAGAATGTGAGAGTTAAATTGTCACACGAGCCAAGTGGTCTAGGATAACGGTTCTAACGGGGAATCAGGAAGCTCATTGGAGAAGCCGATAAGACATCTGTTCTGTACATTGTGAACTCGTAAACTACCAGTACACTTGTCTAAGAGACCTGCCAATTTGAGACAAAGTGATAAAGTAAAAGTTGGAGAGCGAGGAAAGTGATCATAAGCACTGATAAGCAAGTGGAGCCGACAAACCCCATGTCGATTCGCTTACACATAATAAAAATAGATATTCAGCTGCAACACCCTTCCTGTGCCTAGCTGCCATGCCACCCGAAGGGGACACCGGGGCTGAGATAGTTCCGCGGTGCCCAAGTATAGACAGAAACAACCAAGGCGCAGAGGTTGGATACGAACCACGGATCTTCTGGTCAGTAAATTTGAGCTAAGCACCGAGCCATCTCGAGCTCCTCATGCATAATAAAAAAGGTGAAACCGTATCACGGCAGCTGATATTGCATAATAGAAAGGCTTGGACAAGGCGTAAGGGCATTCTCAAGTAAAGACCAGAATGCGCACTAAGTTTCGGGGTTGTAAAAGCACTCTACTTACTTGATGTTGACGGTATGGATGCTCAGGTTGTTTCGGATGGCCCTTCGGTTGTTGATTAGCCCCCATCATATTGGCGCCTCCATTCATCATCGGCTGACCCGGTGCCATGACTTCATTCGTGGTCGGCTGACCTCCAATAGTTCCAGCCATCGAAGCTCCATCGTCGAGTTTGTTATCCATTTGATTAAAGTCTTTGCGGTTTTCAAGAATAACCCACTGCAGAAGTGGATCGTGAATGAAAGCTTCGAGAACAGCAAGAAGGCTCTCTCGATCATTTCGCATTAGAGACATTACCATCTCACAAGTTTGTCTGTATACACCATCAATTCCAATGACCTAAATACAAAACGCAATACACCAATGAGCCGCCGCATGACAGTTAGGTGTGAAAAACAACTGAAAGAAAGGCGATGATAACTGAACAAGGGCTCCCAGCAGAATAACTAACCAGTAGTGTTCATACAACAGCGCGTTCCCTTGGCAACTTACTTCCATAGCTGTAATTATCATGCGCGTCAAACGGAAAGGGACTTTCTCGGGGAATTTCTCACGCATCATCGCCACTTCAAAGCAATCGCCGAAATCGATGTGTACAACCTTCCCTGTTTCACGTGATAACATAATATTGGACGGATGTCTGTGAAAAGACCAAAAGGTTAGGCACTCCGGTGAGAGCACGTAGTCACAGAGATACATAACAGGATGAATGTGAGCAACCATAACAATTTAAGTGGGATTAGGGGAAAACACTGGGTAAAACCTTGTCATTCTTTCATATGCAACGCACACAACTAAACACGAAGACGAATGGTAGATTCCCTTGCAGAAACGGGTCGCAACCCACTACCTAGTAGCTAATTCACTCAGTTTTTCTTTTGCCAGCAAGACGACAAAGTGGTTGCGGCAGTGTCTTAGCTAACATTCGGGGACCTATGGGATTACACATATCTCCCCAGCTTAGTTACTTGAATTAACCCAAATGACACTTCCAACTCTGTACGCAGGCAAAGGATAAATCTGAGGACTTTGGGCCCATTGTTACGGCACATCCTGCTCGGTAATATGACATAGGCCAGAGTTCCTGGTAGGGTGAAGTGATCACATTAAGTGGCACAGTCATTAAGCTAAAAAAACAAGGTTGAACGGGTATCATTTGGACAAGCCGCATACAAAGATCACACGCTACGGGAAAACAGAAGGACGACCGCAAAACAATCTATCTTCAAGCTTCAACGTGGTTGCTTTAAGTAGGGATTATGAGTAAAAGTATCACATACCGATCTCCAAGACCGAGGATGTATCCCACCATGGACATTGTAGCCATCGATCGGACAAAGTTCGTTCTGCGTTCAAACCAGGCCTGAAAAAGAAAATAGTCAACAAATAAAATAAAAAAACAGTAATACCTGTAGCTTGGTTGGTTGTAACATGACAGAATAAAAGGGTACACTTATATGGAAAGCGTTCAGCAGGTAACTGAATCTCTATATCATGGCATGAATTGAAAAAAAACTAAACTTACATCGACACATTGTGTCCGTTTACATTGAGAACTCAGATTTCGACATTTAGTTGCTGTTTTGGCCTATCATCTAAGAGTGTGACCAGTTGTACCAGTTCACTCACAAATAACTGCCATGACTGCTTTATAGCATAGTTGGCTAGGTAGGAAAGACAATCATAAGACCAGGTAGTTAGTGCAGCCTTCGATCTGTCAGCCACTGATTGCAACTAATCGGTAAATATACCATCACTACGACATGTGCTTCTTCAATGAGGAAGTGAAGTTCACGTCCAACAGATAGCTTACAATAGGCTGCCAAGTTCAAATATCACTTTTGAACAGAAATATTCCAAGAGCCAATTGAAACATTGGTTACGTGAGCAGACCCACGCCATTATTCCGTTCTTAACCAGTTACGTCATTGAGCCTCAGACTGCCAATACCTGCTTTCAGACAGCCTTTTAGACCCGGTTGTTTTGTTAAATGCCTATCTGTTCTGCGACTAATAATGTTTAGTGATTTTGGGATGACAACATGCTGTCACACAGACAGGACTTAATAAATTTATTTATCCTATGCGGAGGTCACGCCCAGGTTGCATAAAAATGACACACAGTAGCCCAATGAGAATGAACCGACAGGATATACTTTACCTCAGAACTGTGACTCTTTAACCATAGGATATTGGCCAGGTCCCTTCCAGAAGAGTCACGGAGTCCAGCTTCAAATATCTCCGTTTTTTGTATCACATTGAGCCGATCGAAGTCACGGGCCAGTCGAATCATTTCTCGGTTTTCTTTGTTCAATATGGTCTGTGTTTTTTCACGATAGTCACGAATGAGGCTGTGCAGAGTGTCGCTGTTCGGAACCCAACCAATAAGGCCCGTATTGGTTGACAGTGGTATTACAGACATCCGTTGAATGCTGGACAAGTATCAGAAGGCAGAGAAATTCAGTATGTTACAGGGTTGAACCTTGTTGCGAAAACAAGGTGCCCTATTCGAGGAGCTCAAAATCCAAGTAACCCGCCGTAAAAACTCAGTAGAGCCCACATCAATTTACTTAGGCTAGTGGAAAAAACACATCAGTCCCATGCAACACGCCGGTTCTCGAAAACATTGTAGCACAGGTCATAGTGAAAGGAAGAAGGCCTTCGCTGCGGAGTTATTCGTTAGAAGATACCAACTGAACAGTTACAGACTAGTAGACAGGAAAGCAAAACTCTCATACGCATCCTGTTTACAAAAACTGGATATCCATATTCTCCTTGAAAGCGTCTTCTTGAGCTTTCCTGGATATTCATTGACTGTTGTTCAAATCCAAGCAAATGCTATAAAGCGACTACACAAACTCCGTAATAGATCTCACTTTTCAAGAGACGCAAAGCGGATTAACGGGAGGACTACTACTCGAATGTCCTCCCATCAGTAGCATCACCGTTAAAATAGTAAGAAACAATTGTGCAGACCTCTACAGTAAATACAACTCCACTCGTCTAACAATTATTCACAACGAAAACAGCGGTCAGAAGAAAAAAGCATCAGCAAACTGTCAGAAAAACTTGTGATAAATGTGATGAACACGTGTTCGTTACAGATCGGCCGATACAGTAGTTCAGTTCAGTTCATTCATCGGTAGATGAATGATGAGAAACGAAGTCAACCAACCCCTTTTCAGGTTGCATGGCTGGCCCAGTCGCAGCTCCAGCGGTCCTGTAACTAAAATAAGAATGACGATCCTCGTGGAGTCCAAAGTAAACTGTCAATCAAATTGGATAGTGCTTGTCTGGATAGATTGAAGTGCAGTTGCAAACTTCCAAACTGTAAAATACGAGTGGCGATTACTATTGCCTGGTGACTCGTGCCGAGAGTAATGCAATCCAAACGAATAATGAAAGAGGACGAAGCGTATACAAACTGACGTTAAGTTGCGCCTCAGCGTTTCAGAATTGTTCATAAGCAGCGTGTTGACAAGCCCGAAGAATTGCATCACCCGTTCGTCTTGGCGTGTATCCTCGTGACCTTTTAGAAGAAAAACGTACTGATGGCCATCCGATCCTGAGAATGGAAGAAGCCGATGCAAGGAGTGTTGTTTCACATGCACACAAAACAAATCCAATAGAAAAACACTTAAGAGCTTCTGAATTCTCTTGCACGGAAAAATTCGAACATTGAGATAAGTTTCCGAATAGGTGTTTCATCAAAGGTCAGAAAGTATACATTTCGACTCAATTGTGATCACACGGCATTTCTCGCCTCAAAAAATACCAAAGTGATTCGGATGATGATCGGTAGACTGCATGGACCCGATTTTCGACCTTCTCATTTCAAAGAGACCGCTGATGCCAGTGTAGATTCAGGCATATTCAGAAACAAATATCGACTACAGAACGAGCTCATTGATCCCTGTACTGAGAGATAATCGATATCATCTGAGCTATAATGTTTAAGGAGGACATTTTCAAGACACGAATAGCTTTCACAAGCGCTTCGTCGAAGATGGCCAACCACGTAGCAACAGGTCCAACTTCAACCGCGCTGAAACGTCGGAAAGCGCCGTGTGGCTTCTCCATACAGTCGATTTATACGCGTAACATTCTGAACGGGAGTTGGGCTACATTCGGCTCATGGGCGGCTCGACCAGCTCACACCCGAAGACAGTGTATCAAAATCTCATCACAGCTGCCTAGTACATGACGCATGGGTTAGCATAAGCTGGCTCGGGAAAAACTCACTAACTAACAATCATGTACCAGTGGGATATGTGAAATGTGAAAGGATAATTCCAAAATAAGGAAAAAAGCTGCGGATTGGTGCCCGCTTTTCGGCAAGGGACAATATAAATTTACCTGATTATCTACAGAATCCCTCCCCTGTACAGAAGCTTCCCTGGATGAAGACCAGTCAGGAAGAACGGCCCAATTAGCTTTTGGTGAGCGTGTCTAATACCCGGTGTTCAAGTTAATAAACGATAAACCAGAATTTTCCGATGACAGTATGCTGAACCACCTAGGTTGGTCCATCGTCATAAGACTACCAACAAAACGGTCAACTCATTGCGCAGACCGCATGTTGTGATCATACTAGCGTTTTATCACTGAACAGGAGTGATTGAAAGCGCACTCACAACCCAAGCCTAGTTCTGTTGGACTTATCTAAGTCCATTATCACCAACGACGACTACTTCACAAAATATCACTATTTCCAGTCACCTATGCTCCAACTTAAGCCCTCGCCGGATACGACAAAAATACGGAGTAGTCTTGCTTCAAATATCCGTACAGCCTAAGTGAGCGGCTCGATTGATACTGTCAGCAGTCGGTAATAGAATTTCCACCCTCGGACTTTTGACAGACAGCATGGGATGTACTAGCCGAAAAAAGGTGAACGACTTTAGTTTTACTTGGAATCAATGTGGGAGAATGTCGTAAAACGCTCAAGACAGTATAACTGGAATGTCCCAACTAAGGAAGCATACATGAAGACAGAAATAACCACACTGAAAAGCGCAGCGCAACCGGTGTAGAAAGTTAACGAAGGAACATGACGAAACAAGTGTGATTTGGATACCGCGGAACTTTAAAATATCGCAACAATGGCTCACCCAATACGGTCAATTTCCGTGGATGCTGCTTCGATGTCATCAGGGTAAGACAATTTTTGATGCCAGCAATTCGAACCAAAGGTCGGTTGGGTTCATAGCTTCCGGGAACTGCTAGCTCCCAATCTTTTCTGTATTCGTGCAAGCGAGGTGAGGCTACCACAAGCTCAAGAGTAGGCATGTTGTTCATTTGTTTGGTGAACTAAACGAACGAGACAAAAAAAAAGCCGATGACATTCGCAATGTAATATCAATGGAGATACGCTTCAGTCTATTATCTTAAACAGGTATAATCATGCAACAAGTAAGTTATCTCCCAGCAGTAGAGAGGTATATAAAATCTGTCCGGAATCTGATCTTTAAGGGAGAAACAGGTGCAAAGCACGACTTCATTTTTCAATGTGAGTTCAACAAGCTTTTGAGAGGATATGATCCAGTAAGCACCATCATCGCATCAGATTAAGGCAATCATGTCTAAATCGTAGATTGGACGCTTGGGTACAGAGGATAACCTGAACTGCCTCGCTGAGATTTAGACAGATTTTCGCAGTTTCGGAACTGTCGATCAAAACAAGGCCTGGTAACCCGTAGGTACTGTTCAAAACTCGTCATCTTTGGTGTTTTTCTAACCTGTCTTGATGGCCGCACGAAATCGTTGTCAAGTTGGTAGTGACTCACACCAGACCGAAACAGTCACGCAGTTGGTTGCGAATGAACACGCATGCAACAGTTACACGTAGTCCGATTTTATGGAATACACTACGTCCTATGATCATACCTCCTTTGGTCAGTGAGAGAGAGAGTTGTCCTAGGGAAAACAAAACCGATCCGTTTTGCTTGAAAAGATTATTTTTAAGAGCGCACTCCAGTAAATTGAAGAAATGCCTAGCTAACCTAACTAAGCTCTCAGGATGACATTCAGTTAAAACCAAAAGATTTACCTATACTTGGTGCTCCAAATAAATTAGTTTGATATGCGGTTAGGCTGTGGACGGTCATGGTGAAGTATAGGAATATGAATAGAACTTTCAGGAACACGTCTTTGGGCAGTGAGTGGGAGAACCGAATAGCAATCAAAAGGTGATGTGACTGTCGGTGAAAGGAAGTTCGACGGTAGTATTCATAAGAGGTCTTTCAGACAGTGATCGATCTGGAGTGAAATTAAGCTAAAAATCCGACAAACACGCCACTGGTTTAAGCACTCACGTACCTGTCTATACAAAGTGTAGTAACCTTCCCAGGCTTGCTGTAACACGATTTTGCTGGAATTTCGTTCGTATGTCTCGCAACAGAAGCGACAATTTCTCAAATCATTCCCATGTTCCTGTAGAAAAGCGGATTCATGTGCCGTCTCATGGCCCCGGTCCATCATAAGGTGCAACGGATAGAGAATGCGGAACATTTTCATAATATCCTTCTCTCCAAAGTAAACGCGACTGGCGTCCTCTAATGCCTCCGACCACATCTCAACCCAAGTAATCGAAAGGCGTATTAGTTCTTCATTCAGCTGTAGAGAACATGAGCAAAATTGAAGTTTCATATACTGGTAGAACACTGATTCATTTAGAAAGCAAGTCAGTTAGAAATAACAAGAGTTTTTACGCATGATATACTTCTGTTGATAAGTAGAACAAACTTGATTTAAGGGGCAATGTTTGAGGCCTAACAGCTGATAACTGAAGCTGGGTCACGCATAAGTTTGCCAAACTGACCTGACAGAGAATGGTCGATAGCCTATAGGGCGAGTGTTTTCCCAACTAACAGATCGATAATACCCTTCTCTTTGGTTTTCGATTGCCTCATAGTTGATACAATTCCAGTGGACTAAGCTTGCAAACGAATAGCCCAAAAATTCTTCGTTTCCGAAATACTAGTGTTTTTATAAATGACCCGATTGATGATGGTTTCATATTCTGATGATGGAATACGAAATACAATCATTCAGCGGTGATGTCCTTCCAATACAGCATGCTTTTACCCTACCAATGGGCTGTTCAGGTGTAGACAAGACAAACTGACAATTCAGTGGACTCGAACCGCCTCCCTACTGTAAAGGTGCAACTTAACCTGCGTTTCAGTTTAGTTTTTCGAACACAACAGCAATAATTGGACCGTGCTCATGAAACACCAAAGTAAAACCATTGAGACACGATCAATACAGTGGGTTCCAGCTAAAGGATTGCTTTTCTTCTCTGGGTTATAAGGTAGGGACCGATTATCGGTCGTGACGGTTCAAAGCACGTGTGTTAATCCCCTGATGGCAGCATACAGTCTTTACCGGGGTGTGGAGTTGGAAGGGGGAACAGACCCAGATACCCGAATGCCATCGGGAGCGCGTCACAACTTATCTCCACCAGAGGGCTTGCTACTGAATAGAAGAGGACGGGTCGGGAAGATGGTGTCCTGACATTAGAGACACTTTCGCAAAACACTATAGCGTGCGAGTTCATCTCCCAGCAACTATTTACTACAAAAGTCCAAGTAAATAGGCTGCACCAGTTGAATCACTATATACTTTGCGGATGGGACGCACACACCGAATCATGCAGCAAACCCACCAACTTTATTTAATACTGCTTGACGGCAGACATTAAATCAAACATACTACGGGTGCTCGGGCTATATTAACCAGAAGCAGAACAGCACCAGAATCCTTTGTGCGCAATATAGTGGGTTATCCAACACAATATAGGCCAGTAATTATAAGATGGTTGAGGCTAGGGCCGTAACGGCGGTTTCTTAACCGCCATTACTACGATCCTCTAATAGAAGCTGGAGACAGAAGGGTTATACCCAGAAGTGGTTTGACTAAATATCGTAAACTGTGTATGGGCTTGTCAATTAGCAACCAAATTCAGTCGAACAACTGCACTGTAATGTAGTGGTCTCTTATCACGCACACTATTATTGTTTTAGGTTTTGAACAATGGGACGAAGTCAATGGTAGAGTTCCACAGATATTGTCGGTTACATTCTTCGAAAGAGATCAAGTCAACATGGGAATTTCCACCAACCAGAGTAGGTTATCGAAGCCCCTCCGGGATGCACCAACATGAGTACTACAGTTACCTACGGCAGATGCCACGAATTGGTCCGATTCCATATCTCTGATTTGGTCAAGTGGTTTTCCTAATAAAACACCCAAATTATGGCGAATAACCAAGCTTGCAGAGGACTTATAATAAAACATGACGGACTAGGTTCCTATTTAGTTATCTTGTGATTAAAACTGCCCTAACTGTATCCCTGACAACACCCTGATTATCGATACAGATGAAAAGATCAAAAGGATATACATAATGGGGAGACTACGAGTGCGTTATACTTTAAGGAGGTATCCAAACCCGTTGCGCATTGAAATCAACAGGCACCGAAGCCAATGAAAACTTACCAGAAAAGCCTCCGATACCAAGCGCGGACTATGTTCCTCCATGCTGTAGAGAATACGATTGGCATTGTAGCGTCTACGATCCGAGCCACCCGATTTGAAAGCCAACACAAGAGAATATACCAAAGATTGCGGGTAGCTTTTCCCAACGGCAATAAGCATGTCAATGATAATGCTGGCCACGTATTCGCGAGGTGTATCGATACGGGCCAGGAGTTGTTGTACCACTAAAAGCCAATTAGACAGGCGAATCTTGGCTAGACCTTCACGTATGACTTCGCGAATTTCAACCAAATGGCCGAACTTGAACAGGAGATCGATAAGCCGTAGGCTGTCCTGTGAGATTAAGGCAGAAAAATAAACAGTAACTGATACCATCACGAGTAGTACGTCCATGAAGAGCGCAAAATTTGACAGGGATACACCGAAAACCAAATAAGAACATGTATCTGGATATCTCGAATATCGTGCCAAGTTAAACATGAGGCGACATCGTACAAGACATTCAGATGCTTGAAAAAATCATAAACGAGGGATTCAGTTGGCTTCTAGGCGAGTCTCCTGTCAAAACCAAATTGATAAGCAAGTGAGTGTATTTTTCGAAATCTGTCCAATTCGTGTTCAAGTAGAACATAAGGTTGACGGAAACTCGGGGACTGCACCTACCTGATGAGCTCCAAGAAGAACAAAGCCGGTTGTGAGCTGTCGAAGAGCAATCTTATGAGTAGTGTATTACACCTATACAAACAAGAGTCTCTTTTTCAATCGCAATTGAAACATCTAAGCAATAAAGGAGGATGCTTGCGATTACCTAGTCAACTGACTGAGGCGCAATAAATGTAACCTTACCAATCACGCGGCCGATTTAAGCTCAATGGCACTGAAAGTCACCAAAAACGACAAAGGGAATCTAGAAATGACACAACACAAGTAACAAGAACTCCTGCCATCTAATTTAGTTGCGGGTGGTTTGGGTAACCGCTGGTTAACCATGAAGCAGAAACCCATCCATTCAGAAAAGCCGCTAGTGGGAGCAGGAAACGTCTGTAAGCATCAAGCAGCAGGCTTTTGAGTTAGCAAAGGTCGTATACAAATTCGTTAGGTCTCAGAAGCCAACGGAAAAGATATTCCAATTGCACACACTCACCTGCAAGTTGGCCGATGGCGACAAGCTGATAGAATTCACAAATCCACGAACAGACGGTGCCGCGTGCAATTCCATACAGAACTGTAGTTTTTTCTTTGCGTGCCACAAGTCAACTATGCCCTGAGACGACGGAGACAGGTTCCCCACAGAAGTAACTGCCGGTGAGTTAGGTTTAGACAATGAATGTGATCCCGGGGACGTCGAACCAGCCTGAGGCGAGAATATCAAATGTTAAACACAGATAATAGGTTTCAATGAATTAATGACGTCTTATTGGGTAATCTGGAAACCTAGCTCAACGTATTTAGGTGCCCTCAACAGTCCGAAGCAGTATTACTGACTTCAGTGAAATCAACAGACACAGCCGAGCTGTAGGCAGTGAGTGAGTGATTCGAACTTTGACCAGGTGCATCTTAACGAAATATGGGATAGTTTCGTGATCCGAAGTAGCTGTACGGATCTGGAAACATTCTTGGGAGAACCAAGGATGATCTACTTAACGAGGTGATGCAGCAGTCAGCCTATTGACCTTAAAGAAAACCGAGATAATACGGGATAAATGGGTACAAGGACGTCTCGACAGGGCGTCCGTTCTTTGAAGAGTTCCAAAAAAGGAAGAAGAGAACGATTGTAGGTAGTAAGTTCGAAATGAGCTCACTTTATTCAAGTCCATTTCAGCACGTTCGATACGCGCTTTAAGAGTATCTAGATGTTGAAAGACAGCGTAGTTCGCCATGGCCCACGAATGCCAAGCAGCGCGATTGCCTGGAGCGTGATTGGTCGCCACATCGTAACAAAGAATGACAAACCCTTGATGTTCGTCCCATGTCTGTGGTACATTCACTCCACCTCCGTCCATCGCTGTCGAACCAGTAGCCGTATTACCGGGTGCCTTCCGAGCTTGATCCGACTCGGATATTTGTATGCCAGACCTCGCTGCACGTAAAGGTTGAGCCGAAGGTGTCTCTGGCCCACGGATCGTGGAAGTTTGACTCCTGGACAACTTTGTAGCGGTAGCAACTGATGCCTGAAGTCCCCCTGTGCCGGGCGAATAACCTTGAGTTGAATTGGATGCTGATCCATCAGAACTGTAAGTTCCGGGAGGACATCGAGCGTATAACTCGGAATACCATGATCCGAGCCTCAGGCAACACCTACAGGTGAAAACACAAAACAATCGTCCTTATATGGTCCATCACAAATAGCGCAGAGAAAACTCGACAGCTCATAGATAATAGTAACTTCCACGGGCGCTGTGGATTCGTTTTTTTTTTCAAGGAGCTATTTGTGTGGGCATAAAAGCATCAGTGCCATTGTGATTAGGAACTGCTATTATTTCCCCTTCAATTTTCGGACAGAAACGGTATAGCTTCTAAGGTCCCTTGGACGTCAGTTCCCATCTACCAAATAAACATGAAGATACGCAATTCAATAAAATCTCACTGTTCTCATAGAGTCAGAGCCTCACTCTGCAACAGTCGACGTTTGAACGGTAATGTAAACTCAGTCGACTGTACCTTGCTATCATCTACCTAATCGTTTTATTCCATAGTGAAACCCAAATCCAATGACTTCATACATCAACTTCTTGGTTACTTCTTGCACCATGACTCTCGTTTTCAGAGTGGAATTTGAGCCTATACGCATCAGTTTACCTGTCCATCTGTCTATCTCCCACCGCTTGACGATTTTCAGTCTAGAATCATGCTCGTCCGAAATAAGAGAATACCAGTCACCCAATGACAATGGCACGACTCATTTGTTTTCCCAATAAAAAGCTGACTGAGCTTTATATCGTCGGCGATTTTAATGTTCACAAGCTTGGCTGGCTAACTCCCACTGCATACACAAACGCAACAAGTAGTGAAGTGGAACCCTTTGAGATCAGGATTCAGGATTCCAGATCCTCTTTCTAAATGGACAGTGATGAACCCTATGCTTCGTCCTAACCTGTCCCTCATCATATTCAGTTGACGCATCTGCATCCATCGGCTATTACGATCACAACCTTATTACTTGTTGTCGTTGCCCTACCTATCACGTCGTGTCTTGTGGCGCTACTCACCTGTTGATCAGGACGGTGTGCAACTTCGGCTCATAACCTGGGACCGCTGCATATCCAATGATCCTACTGAAAATCTCACAACTGTTCTTATGGACGGAATGGGCCAGTTTACGCCCCACATTTCTAAACCCGGCAAATGTTCAGCTTCGCAGTGGCTTGATTGTCCTTATCTCGATGATATTAGGATGAATGAGTGAATGTATAAATGCTGCCCTTCCCGCCTCTTCTTCATCTCGTCTGGACTATGCTGCTGCTAGCAGTCCTTATATTGCCATCACCGTCTGTCAGTCGCAAGACTGATTGATCAGTTGTCAAATGAAACTACCGGAAATCGATACTTCTGAAATCCTGCAAAAGCGGTCAGGCAGAATTTCGCTTCTTCCTTTCGCCTTTCTATTCTCGTCTTCAGTGGAGTCCTGAACCAGCTCTCCCAAGAGCGAAATATTAGCCCAATTATTCTTGTAAATATCAGTAACAGCCGTGGTCTATCCTGCTACCCCAAGCTACTTTCAAACAAGACTGTTCACCAAAATCTGTTATCTCTTTACATTTAATAGCTTTCGAGTCTAGATGGTATTCACTTATTTTGTTCCGTGCTCTGAAACTTGTCTCAATTATATCCCGCTTTTGTCCTTTTTCCCATCTTCCGGTGCAGTCCCGTCCGTCTGGAAAATGTTCTTTTTATTCCCTGTTGCCAAAGGTGATGACCTATATGAACAGAACTACTGTCCCATCTTTATCCCCGTTTTGTCCAAAGCTCTGAAGTTAATCTTGGCTGAACGTGTACGTGACCTGGAGAACGACGCCCTTCTGAGCAATCACAAATATGGGTTCAGGCGCCAACTCTCTTCTGTTGACCTACTAGCGGCTCTTTTCCATCAATGGGTGCAACCATTATGGAACGACTATCTGATTGCCAAAATGCTAGTGTATGGAATGCAACATGACATGGCGATTTAGATTTCAAATTTCCTAACAAGCTTCTCTATTCATCTACTTTGTGACGGTGCTCCCTCTCGGATCTAACAAGTCTTCAGGGTTTTCTTTCTTCTCGCACATTATCCCTCTAAGTTGTCAACGGCCCCCTCTCTTCTCTTTCTGACCGCACCATGCATTCGCAGATGATGCGACTCCCCAGATTTCTAACGCTAATACTTATTCGTCTGAAAGGCGGCATGTACGCCGACCCCACAAACATTAAAGCCTGGATTTTGTTAAATTTAGCTACATTCAATCCTAGCAAACTCACTCATTTTTCTCCCCCTCGGCCGTTCCTACCCCAAACTTCCACTGTGTTGATTCTTACCCGATCCTTCAGTTATCTAAATGCCTTTCCTGGTCGTTTCTTTTCGAGCCATCCCAATCGGATCCCACATGTGAAACATTACTACCCAGGGTTCCAGATACCTCGGCTTTCTTTTTTCCCACCGCACCTATTTATCTACCTCTCAACCTCTGTTCTTGCACAAACCCAAGATTCACCGGACTATGGAATGCTGTAGTTGTTGGGGGCGGTACCCATACGAATCTTTCACTTCTAGTCCACCAGATGTTGTGTACTAATGACCCCTCTTAACTGACCTGTGTTCCGCAAACCCCCTCTTACCGTTGGAATGTAGTCGGACGTTTGGTATTTTACAGCTACCAACATGGCAAGTGCTCCAGTGAACTTATGTTCCGCTAGTAAAATCGTCCAACACCCTTATGATTCTCTTGTCACCCATATCAATGTGCAGTCCCCCGTAACCGAAAGAGACGATTTTCCTCCTTATTTTTCTCTAGGACTTCTCTCTTCCAGAATTTTCTCCCGCTTTTTTACTTTCTCATTTATAACTATCCTCAATTTTTCATATCTAGTGTCAAGCTCAATGTGTCAAACACACTATGGGAGTTGTGCATCATTCATAGGTCATTCACGTAGTGGGGGACTCGTTCGTGCTTCATCGATTGTTTCATGCGTTTGACCACTTGCTCATTCTGTGATTGAGTAATCCTCTCCTCATAAAACCGATATTGTAAGCAATAAAAAGAGAGTGAGAACCCAATCTACAAGCAACGCCAAAGGAGTCTTTCTGGACCGGCCAAACACTATGGATAAGTGGTCATTGCGGAGTGAACAGAGATAGGCAAGATTATACATGAATTGAAGCCGAAAAGGAACATTTGTTTCCATGGCTCACATAACCTGTCTCAACTCCGCACGGCCGGAATCTCCAAATTATGTCTTGATATTTACATTCAGTCCACCAATATTAGTGCAATCCATCGAGATTGTGAGCAGTGCAGGAAGATCAACGCGATTGACGCAATCTCACTCGGGTGCACTCTTGTGTGTGAGAAAGGAGACTACGTGGCGAGATGGATAGCTAGTAAAGCACTCACTTGGCCATTAGAGCCCGTAGCTCTTGTCGCTCCAATGCAGCTTGTGCGGCTGTAGTCTTCGGATCGAAGCTGTCTAGCACCTCGTTCGCATCCAACACTGAGGTAAACGAACGGGGATTGCTGAGTGTAACGGCCTCCGAGGACAACATGGGCTCCAAAACGCGCGTGATAAGCACATACAGTCTAGTGACAGCTTCTTCGTGCGCTCCAGTGGACCAGAGAAGTTTGGTGTAGGCAAAGACGGTGGCCGGGTCGGCGTTAGGAATGGGTTCCGTTTGTGGAGAATGAGCAGGATCATGACTAAGCAGATTTTGCAACAACTCCCTTGCCAATGTCTGGGAAGCGAAAAAGGATTTCACACAGTAATGTATCCAGGAAGACAGTAAAAACGATGTAGTATAGTCGTACGATTCTAGAAATCTGACGAATATCCAAAAGACCCTGCAGATTGCACGTAGTCTGACAAACAATGAACAATGGAAAAAAGAGCGCGGTAAACCCGCCTCCGGGAATAATGATAACGTTTAAAACGTGCCTACTTACGAAACGACCACTGCGACGGCACAGTCCAGCAAATCGCAGCCACGTCTTCAAATCATCTTGGGGTTTCAGGACAAGGCTGCGGAGCTGAAGTACTTGACCCCAGTCTTCCACAACAGATTGACAGCCAAGCAGACGAGCACACCAGGCTTCTCTTAGAACTGAGCGCCGCTCAGGTACCAGCTTGTATTGGATAACCTCCTCGGCTTCAGAAAGTAATTGTGTGCCGACGAGATCCTGGTCGAAGAACAAAAACAAAACAAAAATGGGGTTAAAACCTTGGGGAGCGGTTCAAAGTGGGAAATCTCACTTCATTGGGTTTGTCGTGTGGCAAATCAAATTAACCGGAATAGTCCTCGTTGAAAATTCTGGTGATTCTCAAAGCGGTGAGTAGTGCCCACCATTCTGGCTTTTGGATACCATTATCACTAGCTAGTCGCTCTGCCGGTTCCAATGTTGCACTGCGGAACCATGTTAAGCAGAGCCACACATCAACCCACGGCAACCACAACATTCCCTCCGAGGATATTCACTACTCGAAGAACCAATTGATTCCAGGTTAGGTGGACCGCTTCTGCAGTGAAAATCAATTGCAATACTGACCAGAAACGTGTAGATTATTGAACTTTTGTCTAGAAGGTCATGGGATGATACCTACCTCGGGTGTCATGATATTCGCATGGCTAAACATATCCAATGAGCACCGGTTAACTGGACAATGACCCTTAGTTTTTGGTCCTCACAAGACGGGACCAAAGGCCGAATAAAACAAATGGTTTAATGGAACTTTGAATGGGATGATAGAACAAACATGGCTTGCAAGGATTTCCTCGAAATTAATCACCAAGGTCAACATATTAAATGTCACTTTACAGTGATACAACCTCTGGTCGAATCAAACGTAATAAACGTGGTCAAATCGAATAGACTGTGCTTGAACTGACCACGTACTTGAAAGAACTTATACAACAGAGTTTTGCTTCAACAGTATAAAAACAGTATAAAACCTAATGGTTTGCTCTTGTCTGAATGAACAAATACCCCTCTGATGGAAACTATTGCCTGCCTATGGACGATGCATACAGCATACCAACAGACAAGCTGAATGAACTGCTCTTACGCTCCACTCTTAATGTACGGTCTCGTACATACTATTGCCAAAGGGAGAGAGTGGGTATGGGGTCGTCTCTAGGCTAACAACTCAAGTTAAGTTGAACTAGGGAAAGAAGAGCTGATGGGAGATATATTGGAACTTGTCCAGTACCACAGATATATTGACGACATATTTTGTATTGTTCGTAAAAACTGTGATTCAGACTAAGTCCTGAATCGATTCAATAACTCTACTGCAAGTTTCGAGTTTACCATGGAATGGGAATGAACAACCATGCCTTTCTGAACGTATTGCTGACCGAAAGAACCGATGGGTCTTTTCATAAAGGAAACTACTCACAAGGTTGCTGAAAACCAAATTGATTTGCAAATGAGTGTATTTGTCGAAACCGATGGGTTCAAAAAAGCGTGTAACACAAAGCAACCACGAGTAGACAGCATATGAACGTTCATAGCTTTGCTCCACTGCAGCAAAAAATACAGTTCACTCTTTATTTGGATTCAAGAACCCGGAAAATATGTCCGGGGGAACGCGAACCAAATGCTGGTAGAAACAATCTAAATGAAAACGATTACCATGATCGGCTCAGCTTACGCCATATTCTGAACAGAACCGAAGTGAAAATAACGGAGACAGTCAAACCCAAACAACTTCTCCTAATACTCCCTCTAAAGAGTAACTCAGTAACCGGGCTAATAGCCAGAAATCTTCCGTAGCGGAAAGATCCACATTCAACGCGGTTAAACTTCGATGCTTCTTCTCAACTTCACGTCTCCTCCACCTACTGACTTGTTCGATGATTATTCATGAATTCAAGTACACATGTGGTGCCAATTACGTAGGTCGTACTCTGCTGCACTTGCCTAAGTGAACTAGAGAACAGTGCTCAAATGGCTCACCTGCAAAATAGGAACGAAATCCAGAGTTTGATTCTGGCCCTCCTGGTCAACCCGAGGCACGTTGTTGATTAAGCTATTGCATTTCGTGTCGTATACCAGGGTAGTACAAAAGCGGTGAAAACGGTTAGATTACGTATTCCCGAGAACGCCAAGGCTAGTTCCACCCGACTTATCATGCCCGCAGCTGAACTGTCCCTATGTTCGTCTCTCGTTCGGTACACACTAGGCCATATCGCCTGCATAACCCGGACACTATCCGTATGTCAGCTGACCCTTGCCTTGACTAACATGCGGATTTCCCTAAGTCCATTTCTACTTCACCATAATTAGTTCACTGTTATTACGTATGATCCCAGAAGATAAACCACTGAAAATATGTGTTCGTCTAGCGTTCCCTTTTCTAGTGTCAATTCAGCAACCACGCTTAGGGTGCCTGAATCACAGCACGATCAGCAGCCTATAGAAGTGGAATCGATTAGACAACACGATATTCTGCAAAGTAACAATTCAATAGATCACGCAATGCACTTACTGCATAAGCTCTGTCATAACTTTCCCCTGTCATTGTTGTCAAGTCTGCATCGAGAACGTCGCGAGCCTTAGCGATATATTGGCAGGCTCGATCAAAACGACCCGAGTGAATATCCAACACAGATCTGTAGAACGCTCCGTAAAAGTTTTGATCAGTAGGCAGAGCACTAGCATATCGTTCCACTTGATCCCATTCATCAGCAGCCCATGCAGCACTGCAAGCCATCGGAGCCATTTGTCTGCGCACAGATTCATCCATCAGATCCCAGTTTTTGGAGACCATCGTTTTCAACGGGACCCTTAAGAACAATGAACGGATACAGTATTACCCTTATTAAGTTTATGGTAGAGGAGAGACAGACAAGATAGTGGGAACTGTGATGGAATGCATATAACGGAGCAAAATAAGAAATAGCTGCGGCGGGGATCGCAGTACAATCTCACCATTGTCCTAGAGCACGGAGACACCGCATGCGTCCAAGCATGTGAGGAGTCTTATCCTTGATACGCTCATCCTTTAGTTTGTTCTCGTACAAATTTAGGGCACATTTCCAATCTTGCAGTCTTTCACGCCATGCTTCCTCATTCACCTATGACAGCAAAACAAAATGTTTAAAGTTCACATGCCGATACGTACAGGGCAAACAGTTGAAAGTTTTCCTTATTCAGACAGGTAAAACAGAGTAGGACAAGAGGCTAACGGATATTTGTTTGGTAACAAATGATTTCGATTCCAAATGAGAAAGAATATGACTGGGATAGAAGGGCGAACGCAACGTCAACCATAAGTATACTTAGCACGCGAGCGCAGTAGATTAAATCAAAACTAAGGGCGGTGTTTTAATCAAACTCGGTTTCAGACCTCTGGGCTCATCACACTAGAGCTGATATGGTATAAGGATCAGTGAGGTGTTCACCGAAGTGTCCACCTCAAAGGTATGCGGCGCCAACGTACAAGTTTACGGAAGCTTTAGACAAGCCAATCTCCCATAACAGATGGCTATAGTACTTGGATGGAGTGGCATATGAAGGATGTTCAAAAAACCCCACAGAATGAATTTGATTTCCTATCTCTACATCACCACCCGGAGAGATCCCTCTGGACACAAACCAGTCCACTTGGCCAGCGACGAAGATACCACCGAAGACAGACTCCTGTGCAGAAAGACCGAATGCCCCACTTATCTGTGATAGTCGCTCTGTGGGGGATTGCTTCAATCAGGTTACCCAGATTAGCTAAGCCAGTCTTAACCACCACTACCTGCTTTTTGAGCGTTTGATTTTTCAATCCGAATAGCTCCATAGAATCACTAAATAAGCAGAAACTCGCGTTGCGAGTTATCTGGAGCTCTGCGTGCAGGGGGCTGCCAACAGGAACGATTCGTCAGGTGTAGCGTTTGTATGAGATGACCTGTCACAGTTTAGATCAGCATGCGCAGGGTCCGAGAGGGGCTTTTAGGTTTGGGAACCTATAATGGCAGGGGGCTGACATAAGAAAGGAAACCTCAGAGTTTTCTGCTCATCAAAGAGGGGCCAGTGTGATGACCACCCATGAGAGAAAAATGTTTCTATCTGATTCCCTTAGTGTTAATTTCACACTGATTTCAGCATCGTTTTGTGATAACAGCAAACTATCCTTCGTGAAATTCGATGTACAATTGCTTTTGGATAAGATGAACCCAGCTATCTTGGAGCACGGGTTCATCAAAAAGTAGTCATTTGAGGAGAAGTCAGCAACCTATAGCGCCCATAAAAGCGCTCACTGCCAACCATGACTTTCAGAAGAGAGGCCTCTTACCCGGGAGAGGCTCCGTCACGAAGAGACTGGACCTTACCGTGGTGTGACGGCTTGCGCATCTCAGCGACCCATTGAGCTGAATTCCATGTAGTGGTTTGTCGGGGAGAGTTGTTGTAAGTAACATCAGTTTAGAGCTCGTGGAAACATGGACAAAAAACAAGCTTACCAGTTTGTCATTAGGTTGTCGTGTTGCATAGATAAGGACCCCAGTAGCCGCTTCATCCAGTTGTAATTTGCTATAGATGGTCAACAAACACGAAAGGGTCTCTTGGCTGGGACTAGATAGCTTCTTCACTTCTTCGAGAAACTCTTGCTCCTTGTAATACAATGCTTTCGCGTAAGCTCGGTTTTTCATTGCACGATCGGCCAAGAGGTGTAGAGATAATGGAAGGGGCACACGAGTCGATGTTGACGAGTACTATCAGAGGATTGAGAATGAGCGAAGAGTTGAATAGCAAATAAAACAACAAGTAATTTCACCCAAAAAAAAACAATGGAAAACATTAGCATCGAGAGGGTTTGAAAAGCACAGGGCAACATCGATATATTAAGGAATAGGTTCAACAGACGGAAGACAAAGATGATTTTAAAACGAGTTGAAGATCGATGAAGTTCTCACATCTAGAAATGGATAAAGTGACGTAAAAAAGGTGCCTATAGAGAGAAATAAAATACTGTGCAAAAACCCGTGCATGTATTGAGGACAGTTCGGTCTGAACTCTTGTTCCAACCGATCAGAAGGACCGACAAGTTTTTCAACACCACCCAAACAACGATTGTGCAAGATTATTTTACACACGTGATATGTGCATGACTGCCGAACAACTTTCCAATGGCTTCGACAGTTGTTCCTATAATGCATCAGATTCAATTGACAGAGACACAGGCAGTCCAGTAACCCCGAGCATTAATTGTTGTTTGACAGTTAATGGACAATAAAAGAGACTTTCATCCAGGGCACACAAACATTATTTATTCCCGTGTTTGAACCATTCATTCGAAAAATATCGGAAATGTGATAAGCCATACCACAGACGAATAGACATCATTGTCTCGCTCGGAGGATAGAGTGTGGGGTAGATGAGTGGACTGCTCTTACTTTACTAGTCATAGTGTTCTCAAAGATATTTATTCAGTCGGCTGAGGTGGTGGCTCAGGTTTCCAGAACTAAGGCAAACTGCAGCAGTCGTTGCTATTAAGACCGACAGAATTGAACAAAGTGGCAACATTATGAGTAGCATGTGAAGTAAAATGCATCAAAACAAAGGGGGTACTTTCATCACTTCGAAATAAAACCATACCTTATCCACATGAGCCATAAACTCCTCCAGATTGAGTATGGCCTGGCTGACCTCTGGTGATTGGTCTGATGAGAGTAACACTTCCTCCAGCTTGCTGATAAGTGCATCCTGCTGCGGTGCTGTTAATTCTGGCCAGCAGCTAACAAAGGCGGCATTAAACAAGGTGCGGCCAATCGTATTATTGATTGCTATGAGATTACTGCAAGCTCGGATTGCTGGATTTGGTGATTCGCGAAGTAAAGCCGTGGTCAATGTCATCAGCCATTGATCCCAGTCTTCACGGCTAATCAAATTGGATGACCGCCAGGCTCGTTCCAAGTTGGCACTGAAATGGAAAGATCAAGTTTCAGTTGAGTAGTGCGTAGAAAGCACTCTAGTGGAAGTTTGGATTCTCATAGTAATAAAGATTCAACTACACAATGTAAAACCTACCCTTTGGTATCAAGCACCTTGATCACAGCGGACGCATCTGGTTCTCTTTGAACTGTGCGCTGAGCACGCGTTTGTGTTGCTAAGCTAGTCATGCCGGTTAGATATTGATCACTGGTCATGGGTAAGTAAGCGCCCTTCTCCACCTATCAACGCATATGAACCAAATAGGCAAACAAGGACAGGCGATTAGCAAAGAAGGTAGAAGTAATGTGCTGAACCTAGATACTCAAATACACGAGGTCTTGGATGTTTGGGAGAATGAAGAACATATATACAGATCTCCCGACTGATTGTCTTTCATATGTAAGCTAGGTCATTCTGCTCATCCTAATCAAATCGCAATTGCAACACTGAGTGTTTCTAGTGTGGTGGAAATTGGACAAACCTTCTGTCCACGATCAAACTGATCAACATCCTTTTGCACACAAAAGGATGTACAGCCCGTTACGGTGTCCCAAAACATAAATCAAATCGAGTATACACAACACAGAAGGTTAAGTACTGGGAAGGTTCAACGGTGAGCAGATGGAAACAGATGAGTGCATTTAAATTAGGACGAATCTGAATTAGGGGGGTTACGGTGTCCCAAAACATAAATCAAATCGAGTATACACAACACAGAAGGTTAAGTACTGGGAAGGTTCAACGGTGAGCAGATGGAAACAGATGAGTGCATTTAAATTAGGACGAATCTGAAGTACATTAGGGGGGGGGCTGAAGTAACTAGAATAATTGCACCAAGAAAAAAACGCTGGACAAATGAAGGTTATGTGAACACGAACAGAGATGTGGTGAATTGCTGGTCGGAATTCGGTGCTGGTGCAAGATTCTACGACAGTCGATGTATCCAACTTCCTTTCGAGTCGCACCACCACGAATTCGGATTGTAAGACCCACTAGTTCACCCGTACAAAAAGGCCTATGATATATGGACGGCTGGGTGGTCAATGTTATCTCCCCTAACAAAAGGAAAACAAGACACTGGAACAAGAACCAGATGTTTCGTCAGAAAATGTATGAGGGCCATCTAACTCATACCTACCAAATCACTGGTCAAACGGAAAGTCAAAAGAGTACGTTGAAAAATAATTTGCACCTGCTCTTCAACCAGCTGACCACTGGAGTTATGGACTGCCTTAACGATACCATTATACATGTGTCTCATTGCAATGTCAAAGAAATGGAACTTTCACACACACACACACACATACATGGATAACTCCTCTCGAGTTCAAACATCCTAAAATGGACTTGAAATGCAGGAAGAGCAGATTTGTTGGGAGCCAAAAGGCATCGATTTCCTGGCGATCCATGAAACAAATCAGAGCGAAAAACCGCTTCGACGTTACTGACTCAAGAGAGTGCGTCATCACTTTCCACATGAAACGTTATGCTTGATACGTATCCCGATAAATGGTAATCAGGCGAACAGATTGTAGCAAATGTGTGTAAAGCATTGTATCAAGCATTAATCAGCTCACTTACACGACCCAACACGGTGTAGAATCGGGTCGGTCGCAGATGCAGAGTGTCCAACATTTTCCGAACCAATGGCAATAAGAGCTTGAATTTTTGGCCCATCCTCAATAGCAAACCAGTCAACACGTCGACGGCAGCTGGGTGTAGTGCATTAATGGCATTGGAACACAACTGGATACCGTGGGAGACAGCAGTCTTCATTGTGGAAGAGGGTGCTGAGGATGGCAAGTGGTGAGGATGTTGATTCAAGTACTGCAGCTGCTGGTGGTATCCTTCCAGGGTCAGAAGAAGACGACAAATAGGATGAACAATCTGACAGGAAAAATCATCCAGGTCCATCCGATCTGTCAATCTGGCCAGACACTCCAGGCAGGCTACCCGAAGCTGCAGCCCGCCTACAAAACCAGGAGCCGACACTGTCGATGCAGCAAGTGACATAACTGTGGTTATCGCAGTGGGAACAGACATCTTTGCGAACTGGGTAAGAGCCATACCTTCAGACGATTTTTGATGCGGTTGTTGACCGTCCACAAAGTCCAGCGACTGTATGTCAAAAGTATCCTCAAACAAATTCCCCTCAGACCTGTTCGGAAGCGCAGAGTCCAACTTTGGTACGGAGGCTGTTGATGTTTTGTTTGACGTATCAGCTGTGCTGTTTAGCAGCATCAGAAGATTTGTTTCGCCGGTGACATCGATCAAACTTGAGATCGCCGGAACCAGTATGTGTGCATGATCCTCCAAAGTATAGCCAAACTCCGGAAGGATTTCCAAAAGCTGTATTAAGATGAAATGAAACAAATTGAGCGAACCAGCAAAATCCTCACTCATATAGTGATGAGACAGAGAAAACACAACTCCATAAAAACAAAAATGGGAAAAGAGTGAAGAGGTATTCGAGGTGCAAAGAATGAGCTTGTTTCTTCCTAAAAACGCCGGATGAACGGATATAACTAGATAAATAATTACTCCATGGACACCCAGTTATTCTGTTGTAAACTCAGTTACGCGACCGGAAGACAACAACCGCCCCCTTGGTAAGGGCCAGACGGAATTATCACAACTGCGGGAACTCATATAGTGCCCAGATAACAGTTCCCGGACAAATTTCAAAACTCCGTGCAAACCATAGAAGAGCTCAAATAGTCAAACTATGTGCTCAAAAGCTTGGCACGTGTGTCCGCTTAAACAATGAATGTTGTGACTGTGCCGCTGTCAAACTGGTTGGATGAAGTGGTGCAGCTAGACGAGGCATCAGTTCTTTATTTATCCAGATAGTTTTACTAATTTACTCATTAATTACCCAAATAAAAGCTGCCGCTTTCATATGGTGGTCGGTACTAAGTGATACAATAATCTCGCGGAATACAGTGATTAGAACTTTGTTCCACAAGGGCCAACAGGGAGAAGCCAGACGAAGGGCAGCGATCCTCCAACAAAGTATATTCGGGCGCAGAGCGATCGGAATAGTCATTTAGCAAAATGACACAGTTGGGGCTGTATTTAGTAAGGGCACTGTGCACCAAGAATGGCGCCACTACTTTGTAGTGTGAAACTATGAACCGCGTTACACCTTTTAAAGTTCTCGATTAAGGTCTGTTTATCTTTTAGAATTGCAGGCTTTAATGTTGAGAAATATCAGGCAGTTGAGGGTAGCACACATACTAACCAGGATCCTGCGAATTTCACGATTCTCTCAATGGACTGCCCTTGGAAAAAGGCTAGAATCCGTTGCGGGAGATAGGCAGAAGTAAGATACCCCACATGTACGAATATTGCACTCCCAGAACCCAAGCTTGATGGTGGAATTATACTGCACATCAAGCGTTCGACAAAGCTTAAACTGATTTTTATACCAACCTAACTGTTCTCAGTGTCTTCAATAAATTTTGTTTAGGTGGGCATATGTTGTAGGCGTTTTAGCTACTTCAACGTCTGACCTTACGAGGATACACGCCACCATTCTTATCCTTTTATGTGCTACAAAACCACGTTCACCTTCCTTCGTCCAAGTGAACTACAAACAGTGAAAAGAGTGGGGAGTTCAAATCAGTAAGTGCAGTTGAACAATATTGATAGACAGGGGGGGAAACCTCTCAGTTGATTCAGTCATGTGGCGAGTCACCAGCAATACGCAACCCTGCGTCAACAGTATACCATTCGGACAAGATTGGCTAGTCTACAGTATAACTGGTGCCTCAGAAGATACAGGCCCTTTATCCACCAAACAGATGTTTCACTTCAAGTGATCTGGATGCTGATTAACTGGTTGGAAGTTTTCTTTAGATCATAAGATTATAGTCATCATAATGTTGAAGAGAGAGCAGACTGTCTCACAAAGATAATCCGCAATGAAGTCAACTTTTCTCATTATCATTCTCCGGAGAAGAGCAACGGCATAACGAGAATTACGCGATTCACTAAAGGGGTAGATAAAACAGAAAAACTCAAGTGTCACTGATACAAATAACAGAAACCACTGTTTGCGAGAACTGACACTCTAGTCAACATTACACCTTCGTGAACAGGACACTCTAAACTATCCAGTTTCAACTAGTCAATTATGCCGGACTTGATATGTTGGTCCACGAAGAGAAAGGATGTAAAGCACATGATTACAAACTCACCAGAATTAAATTAGCTTCATTCAGTTCATGATGAAGCGTGCGTAGAATGACCGGAATCAAACGTGTGAGGTGTGGACGAAACTCTGCACCGAGTACGGAAGCCATCGGACTGAGTAGCTGAATACAAGCATTCTGAACGTTCGGGGCGACCCACCAATGGGATAACAGTAGGTCGACGACTTCAGTGGCGAATTCTTTTGTATGTAGCCGAACTACATTCATGATCGAGCCAAGTTGACGAATAAGGAACTCCGCAAGCTGTGAGCAGGGAAATAGTGTCACAGTGAGTGCCATCGAAAGCACAGACAAAATTGGGTAAGCCAACGTCCTACGGTTTCTTAGAATCACAGATCTACTTACTCCTACATCACGCGTGTTCCGTAAGCAATTGAAGTAGTCCGGCATTAGTTGTCTCAAATAGTATACTGAGCGGGTTCCCAAGAGTTTCAGCACGTATACAATGGTTTTCACAATATTGCTGTACTGACTGCGCAAAGCCGGATCTCGCAGCATATGCATCAACGCCGATAAAGCACAAACCGAGAAAAACACGTCCCGGCTTTCCCAAGACAGACTGACTACCAGCTCCGGTTGTGCAATGTCAACTGTGAAAACAAAGCAATGTGAAAGGCATATTGGAGAATAAAAAAACACCGCCTGTGAACTATAGAAGAAGGAAAACACCAACGTATCTGTACACCATTACACAGTGAATAGTGTGGAACTGTTTGCTCTAAACAAGAAAGCTCAGGGGAGAAAAATCAATTCCATCAACTAACACTGACCCAACCAAAACAGACATATCCTACGCATAAGTATGACCTAACACCATAAATACTTTACGACAACCTTCTTCTGAAGAAAGATGAATCGGTTCCAGGAAATCCCTGGATCGCTGTCAACCACGAAGCACAATCAGAATCCAAATCTCAGAACAGTGTCATGTAGTCTTCGATCCGATGCTCGAAACCATGGGCAAAATGGAAGCCCAACAATTTTACGTTTGCCTTAGTTGGTGGATCAGTTCCTTATTTGTCCTCCAATACGACAGAGCCACTCTGGCCCGGAAGATCGCGACTGGGGTACACTGATTCAGAACGTGACATATAATGATAGTGTTCATCAATAAGTGTCCATCAGTAGGTATACTGTTTTCTTAGAGTAATTTCAGTACTCAGTACGAGATGTCTCACTTGTTAAGGCACGGACTTGCTGACCAGAAGATGAGCGATAGAATCCGACTTTTGTATCCCGACTGCACCTACATAGGCTTGAGCAACCTGGCAGTATTTCGGCCCTCATGCTTCCTTCGGTTAGACTGGCAGCTAGGCGCCGAAGGGATTCAACGGCTGAAACACTGTTATTATTATTACTCATACAAGTGGTCTCATATTTCGAGTCCGTCTTCGTGAGCTCGGGAATTGTCAGTTTCGCATGTGTGAGTTCGGGTCGGACACGGAACTCCGTCCGAGTGTTGATTTCTGAATGACTCCAAGGGACGGAGTGACATGCTACGAACGACTTACTGTCGTTGCCGATGTGAACATTCATTTCTTGTCGTGTCTGATTAGTTGGAGTAAAGCTCGAATTCAGTTGATCAGTCAGCCAATGGGTTCGCAATGTTGTCCCAATCTGAACCAACCAAAGATGCGATGGATGACGCTGCGTAGAATATGGGTCCTCACCGGCAATTAGGATGTCGTGATTTTGGCGTACAGTTTAACACTTCCTGTAGCTAACTATAGACATCACCCTCGATGGAAACATCAGATAAATGGTATAGATGGCTTTAAAGATCATATACAATGGGGCCTTTGGAAAGAGTGTAATCCTAGACGAAGAGAGAAGGCTATAAGCTTAGCTGTTAGGAGCGAGAGTGACGTTACACAGGCCGGAGTTTCACTTTGGTTGTAAGGAATATTCCATCCCCGGAATGCAAGATGAACCCAAATCAGGAATCTGTGCCTCCGAAGGGCAAGCGAGATTTCGCATAGTGAGACCCTGTATTTTGATGTCAAGGAATGAGTGAATGTTCTAGCGTCCGTGTTCACTATGGTGTACACTATGAAACAGGTTTAACTCGCGTAGCTGTTTGGGCTACGATTAAATCGGCGTTGGCAGCGTCGCTTACGGGAAACGGAGTTTTGTATTCAAGACAAATCTATGGTAAAATAATGGAGTGCGCACCAATAAAGTCCCGAGGGTTGCGCAAGTTTTCTCTGGGGTTATACCTCTGGCCCCTGTGCGGTTACTTACAGACAGCGAAGGCTCAGAGAGCAAAAACCGATTTTATTCTCCCGGTCCAATTTGGTGCTCGTCCAAGTACGATTCCCTAGTCCTTGCACATCCAAGTACGACCCGAACAGTAGCGAGGTTCCGCAGTCTAGGTAGTGCCACATGCTGATCGGGAGACCGTATTCTCTTCGTGAAACATGGCGGAGGAAGGCTTCTCAAGTACTGATGTAGTAATTGGGCCTACTCGGAACTCAGTAAGGCATCTGTTTGGCAGCTGAAAATTTGCCAAGTACCAGTTAAAAGTGTCGCAGCACTGTGTTGCACATTTGATGACAAGCATCAAGCAGGTTCCAACGACATCGACAAATTTAAGAAAGAACTCTCCATGTGGAAACAGAAAACAAGTCTGGTGACGTGTGCAGTGACAATCCATTTCAATGCACAAAACTAAAAACATCCACTTGAAATTAAAAGAAAAGTTATCGTAGGAGTTAGCGTGCATGGGTTGCTCCCATATATCTTAATAGTATACGATACCCGATAAAGGAATTGTCTAACATAAGGTCAATTCCGTGTTTGTTATCAAAAATGTGTCAGCCAGGAACCGAGACTTCATCCAACCCGCTTGCTGGCCTTCGGTATCAGCGCGGTATCATAAAAACTAATACATAGTGGAAGGTCGGCGTATACGCACATGAAGACTGATTTAGAACTGGCAATTTTTATGCAAGTGTGCCTAACTTTTCAACACGATTAAGCTTCAGGATATTCTAAAGGAATCTGGTTTGAGTGAGGTTTCAGTGCCAGACAGGGCCGAGTCCAAGTTGATAACTTATTACTTATGCCTAGCTCAGCGAGCAGATGAGGACTCATGGTTCAGCAATTACTGTTACGCGAGAATTGATAGCGGAAAGAAACTACAACCTAAGTCTATATACTTCGTCGCGATAAAATGTGACCTGAATTAGTTACTGTTCCCCGTAAAAAGCTAAATGATTAGTTGTGAAATCGCTCCATTTCAGCACTCATGTCAGCCACCCTTCGTCTCCTACACTTTATTGGCAGAAGCTGTATTAGATTCGGTATAAGATTCTCTATGTGCATTAATACATCGCTAACGTTTTACTTCGTAACATCAAGGAGTTATTGTAGGTTAGTATTCAATGAACATTGAGTCTCGCGTATGGGCTATAAACGACTAAGCGAATTGAATGGCAACGGAGAACGCTGAGAACACGGATCTAGTAAGTACATGTAACCAGAAGGCAGAGGACAAACTCTCAAAAGCTGCGCTTCCTAAAAATAGAGGCTCACCATCTTTCTTGTCATCAGCCTCATGAAGACTGACAGCAATGCCTGTATCACCAAAGGTGTCCACCTGGCCAGTAATCAAGCGGAATTTGAACGGATCCAAAGCTCCGACAACCCCAAGAGCCCGAAGCACCTAACCCAGCAGGAACAGAGAAAAGTGCAAACCGACAATGACAAAATGAGTTGTAAAAGGAGAGTAGTTGAGTAGTGTTCGTAACTGAACAATCAATGAAATGTAGAAGAATGCACCGGATACAAGTGGTGCCACCCCAATCGCTGTTCGATTATGCATTTGTAAAACCATTAGTCAGGATCTGCACACACAAAATGGCATGAAAACGAATCCAACCTCAGCGAAACCATGGAAGCCTGTGATGCTAACGGCCTTATCTTCAGGCTTATTTGTCCCACTGAGTTCATCAGTACTGCACTAGACTACGTAAAGTTCGGTTCTTCTCAGATGATTCGGTACTGCGTGAATGAAACTGTGAGTGCTATAGGCGCAAGTTGGAAATTAGGGTAAAGTGCACTGCCAAGAGGGTCCTAAGCAGGTTAAAAAAAGTAAACATGCCACCTGTTGGATCCTTCATAAACAAAATGCAACACCCAAACTGGCCGGTATAAGTGATTCAACAGGTAACCTAAAAGGGCCCCTTCAAAGCCAAAAATCGAACTGAGGGGTACGCCAAACATTCTTACACACTAATTGTGATGTGTGGAACAATGGAATCGGCTTGGACGGAAGCAGATCAAGGGTGTGCACACACTGATGCTGTTCAAATACTTGAACACTTGGCTGTTGAAAGTTCCTTAGGCCCTTGAACTCTTCACACCACCTTGTTCTTAAGTGACACTCATTCTTCACAGACTTATGCCAACTATATTCCAGTATTCCGCGTAGCCAGCAATAAAGATGGGGTAATATCCACCAAATAGAGTCCACTCTGCACTCTCCCTTTTTCCAGCAGCAGCGAGAACGGATAATAGTAACACCAAGTAAAAGGTGCAATCTGTCGACTCTGGAATAAGGACAATTCGTGAAACACGTGCGTCTCTCAATTGAGCCAATTCAGGGAGGATTGTACACCTCATAGAATGTGAGTGTAAGTACCGACCAAGACAACTGGTATAGACTGTACGAACTCGAACCAAGCTCACCACTTGGTGACTGCGGTCACGTTCCGTTGAGTTATTTCCTATAGTGCACGGCTTCAGCGGGCTACGTGCCATACAAGACCAACGGCGATTTAAGGTATGACATGGGACCAACAACGATGCTTAGGGCTACTTACCTCTTGTCGTATTTCCTTGGATTCCTCCCGTTTTAGCATATCCAGTAAAATAGGTAACAGCTGTGGATGACGTTCGTATGGTGTCACAACATAACCCGTGTTGGAAACCAACGTGCCCAAGGTCCACACGGCGATCTGCACAAAAGGGATTATTCACTATAGGAAATGCTTTCAACACATTGGCTCAAAACCAAACTCGGAAAAGCTGTTACCAATGAACGTAGAACACCGAAAGCTAATGAGCCACTGGGTGCGTTTCGAATATTAATAATTGAAATTAATGCTATCCATTAACCTGAAGGTTCCTCGAGGGTCGTTGAAGGAGTTTTACAGCAAAAAGAAGTGACGACTGTACACATTCGACCCATAACTACACCATATGTACGAGATAAACAGGAACGCTCTTTACGTAAACTCACCTTTCTTCTAATTTACCGTGTTCAGCTTCAACCTAAAGGTATGCCGAATGTAGAGTGCATTGCGGCACACAACCACGGACATGCAAAAGTGTCGTGACCACTTACCGTGGATGGTCTCCTTACAAAGAAAGTAGCCCTGCATATCGCCGGTAAAGTTGGACTGGTATGGTTACATGAGATGGACCAAGTGCTAACAGCGCGAATTTACTGACCGGAAGGTCCGTGTTTCGAACCCCACCTCTGCCTCTCAACTTCCCCTGTCTAGGCTTGGGCAACCTGGTAGTATCCCAGCGCTCGTGCCTCCTTCGTGTGGCATGGCAGTTGGCACCGAAAGGGTGCTGCATCTCAACGATTATTATTATTATTATTATTATTATTATTAT